TATGTAAAAAAATGAAGGTCCATATTCTTAGTAAGAGCTTTTTATATCTGGGATTGAATGTTGACGACAGATTTGTGAATAGCACATCTTATAAAATGATTTTGATCTGTAATATTAAATTAAATTCCCTGTTATCAAATATTTTATTAATTCTTTTCAGCTGATTTAAATTATGCTATTATACTTTTTTGTTACTTTTTAGTCTGCACCAAAAAGAGGCTCAAAACTACAAGACAACAATGACTCATCTGCTTCTAAAAATAAACATCTTCATACAAAAAGAATCAATAAATTGTGTGGATTTGGTGCCATCTAGCTGCAGATTTCTTTTCACAACTTTGCTTTTTCTTCTTTGGTTGTACTTTTCATATTCTGTGGTGTTAAACGTCAACTTTTATCATATTATGTTGGCTCTTAATGTAACTGACCACCAGAAAACGTGAAAAAAAAAAAGTGTTATGAAGGGTTTACTAGGTTAATCAGAATCAGAACTCGGTTAATTTGGGGATAAAATCGTTTTTTGATAGTTTTTAGAAGCAATGATGCAGTTTTTGTTTCATCTGAACAAAACATCGTCTTCCACATTGTTTTTGTAGTTAAAATAAACATTTAACATACAGGTGCTGGTCATAAAATTAGAATATCATGAAAAAGTAGATTGATTTCAGTAATTCCATTTAAAAAGTGAAACTTGTATATTATATTCATACATTACATACAAACTCATATATTTCAGATGTTTATTTTGTTTAATTTTGATGATTACAAATGACAACAAATGAAAATCTCAAATTCATCATATCAGAAAATTAGAATATTGTGAAAAGGTTCAAAATTGATGGCCCCTGGTGCCACACTCTAATCAGCTAATTAACTCAAACCACCTGCAAAAGCCTTTAAATGGTCTTTCAGTCTAGTTCTATAGGCTACACAATCATGGGGAAGACTGCTGACTTGACAGTTGTCCAAAAGACGACCATCGACACCTTGCACAAGGAGGGCAAGACACAAAAGGTCATCGCTAAAGAGGCTGGCTGTTCACAGAGCTCAGTGTCCAAGCACATTAATAGAGAGGCGAAGGGAAGGAAAAGATGTGGTCGAAAAAAGTGTACAAGCAAGAGAGATAACCGCACCCTGGAGAGGATTGTGAAACAAAACCCCTTCAAAAATGTGGGGGAGATTCACAAAGAGTGGACTGCAGCTGGAGTGAGTGCTTCAAGAACCACCACACACAGACGTATGAAAGACATGGGTTTCTGCTGTCGCATTCCTTGTGTCAAGCCACTCTTGAACCACAGACAGCGTCAGAAGCGTCTTGCCTGGGCTAAAGAGAAACAGGACTGGACTGCTGGTGAGTGGTCCAAAGTCATGTTCTCTGATGAAAGTAAATTTTGCATTTCCTTTGGAAATCAAGGTCCCAGAGTCTGGAGGAAAAGAAGAGAGGCACTTCATCCACGTTGCTTGAAGTCCAGTGTAAAGTTTCCACAGTCAGTGATGGTTTGGGGTGCCATGTCATCTGCTGGTGTTGGTCCATTGTGTTTTCTGAGGTCCAGGGTCAACGCAGCCACATACCAGGAAGTTTTAGAGCACTTCATGCTTCCTGCAGCTGACCAACTTTTTGGAGATGCAGATTTCATTTTCCAACAGGACTTGGCACCTGCACACAGTGCCAAAGCTACCAGTACCTGGTTGAAGGACCATGGTATCCCTGTTCTTAATTGGCCAGCAAACTCTCCTGACCTTAACCCCATAGAAAATCTATGGGGTATTGTGAAGAAGAAGATGCAATACACCAGACCCAACAATTCAGAAGAGCTAAAAGCCGCTATTAGAGCAACCTGGGCTATCATAACACCTGAGCAGTGCCACAGACTGATCGACTCCATGCCACGCCGCATTGCTGCAGTAATACAGGCCAAAGGAGGCCCAACTAAATACTGAGTGCTGTACATGCTCATACTTTTCATGTTCATACTTTTCAGTTGGCCAACATTTCTATAAATCCTTTGTTTTTATTGGTCTTCAGTAATATTCAAATTTTCTGATATGATGAATTTGAGATTTTCATTTGTTGTCATTTGTAATCATCAAAATTAAACAAAATAAACATCTGAAATATATGAGTTTGTATGTAATGTATGAATATAATATACAAGTTTCACTTTTTAAATGGAATTACTGAAATCAATCTACTTTTTCATGATATTCTAATTTTATGACCAGCACCTGTATTGCCACTTTTCCATAAATGACACATTTGTGAGGAACGCGGCTCATAGTTATCCTATAAACAGATGTGATAACCATATCCAAATATTTGGCTTATAGAAAGAAACCCATTTTAAATATATATAAAAAAAAAAAAGATCTTTGATTAATGAAAACCAAGAAGCATCAAATTATCCAACTGTGAAGCATCAACAAAAAGGTAGTTTTCTTTATAAGAGTTAGTGAAGTTAGCTTGTTTATGGTAATTATCAATGTTAAAACTATAGGCCAGGGCTCTTTTTGGACCATCCACAAGGGCTCATAATAATCGCTAAATATATATTTAACTATCTATATCAGTCTTAAAACCTTAGTTATACATTTTCACTACAGAATCAGTGCCATTTTTCTTAGCTAACTTCGAAATTATGGTATTTTTTTCTATCAAATATTACCATATAGAAGAAATGTCATGCTTCATCTTTATTTTGTTTTTTTATTTTAAAAGCTAAAAATACAAATAAACTGTTGGTTGCTGAAGCTGGCTACAGATTTCCTATGGCAGATATTTAACAAAAGTAATGGGTTGTGTTTTATTTCAAAAGTCCCGTAACACTTTGAAGCTCTAAAACAACTTTTACTTCGCTGGTCTCGGGCCAAAATGACTCTTGGGATATGAAAGGTTGCAGACCTCTGCTGTGGGCGGAGAAATAAACATAACAAATGCATAAAAACTCTTTATTAAACAGCTTCAAAACAAGCCGCTGTACTTTGGTGTGGAAAAAAACACTTCTACAGGAGTAAAAATAGAAGCTACAATACTAATGAAAACGTGGATGAAAACGTGGACGCACTTCAGAGGCAAAAAACTGGCTGCATAAAAAAGCCCATTTCAGATGAAAACAAAACAAGTGAGATAAAAACATGCTAAAAAACTAAAGAAAAATCAACCCCCACTATACATACATATGTCTGTTTAAACTGGAACACTGGCCACATGTGATGAAGTATAGCTTAAGTACCTGGTGGTTCAAGTTAAAAGAAAAGTGAAAAAGTTATTCAGGTGCTTAAATAGTTATAACAAAAAAATTTAACAGTCCCCAGCTGGACTGATCAGTACAGTTTATCAAACTTTCATGCAGTAAGTGACAGAAAACACTAGTAAACCAACAAAAACAAACCTTTAGGATTTACAGTACATGCATTCATGTGCAAATCAATAATTCACATCTACGCCCAGCAGAGGCGGACTTCTTTCCAAATAAAAAGTACCTAAAAAAAAGTAAAATATACATAAAAAAAACTCTAAGATAACCATACATTAGGACATTCGCAAACACCTTTTAAAGTGATAAACAAAAAAAAACATAAAAAAACAAATCCAGGGTGTTTTTAATAGCCGTTTTTTGCTAACAAAAGGACCCTATGAATTGGAGGGCGGGATAAAACAAAAGGCTTACTTTAGCAAACATCGCACTAATAAAATAATAAAAAATATATTTCCAAATGGATCAGTACAGTCAGTTTCAATATTCCTGCATAACCTTTGCTTCCTACAGTTTGGAGAGCCCACACTGATCGGTAGCTAGACAATAACTCATCCTAAAACCCTGAGACGGCCTCCATTTCAACCCTCCTCAGACACAGTGGTAAAAAAAAAAAAAAAAAATCTAAAGATGTTTCTTATAAAAGGATGACAATAAGTAGTGATTTCTATAATTGTTGTTGGTTATATTTCTTAAAACCTGGCCAGCAGGGTTTATGAGGTCGCACTTAGTGAAATCAAAGACACAATGTTTACACCGATCACTTCCATCTATCAAATGGCTCTAAATTGATTTCTGTAGTTAAAAAAAAACCTACAAGTGTCTGCTGGTCACCTGTATATTTTAATAATAATAAAATACGCTGCAGAATAGTGTTCACCTTGACTAACACGGACAATTACCCAGAAAAATGATGACAAACGCTCCATTAGTGTACGTGGTAACGTGTCAAACCTCAAACCCAGAGTCAAACCTACCACTCAGACACTGATGTCAGCGCACTTATACAGGTTAGCAAACACCAAATGTTTGTCGTCATTCCTGTAAAAAACCTGAAACCTTCAGCTCACTATTAATACATTCTTTTAACACTGCGACATGTCTGCATTTAACCAGATCAGGATACGATATAAAGATACCAGTAATTGCTAAAAGCGAATCAGACGTCTTACTGAAACGACCTCTACTGTCTGTTGACTAAATAAAAAGCTAAGGCTATCTACCATGTGACAGAATTTGATTACGATAAAAAAAAAAAAAACTTAAGATGCACTAAGAAGTCAGATTGAAAACAGACTTCAACAGCAGGTGAGCTGCTGAAAAATTATTTCTCCAATTTTTAGATGCATCAGAACCAAGAACTACCATCTCATTAGCTCTAATACAGACACTAACAGTACTTCCTTGCGTTCCCCTGAACACAATTCACATATGGGTCAAAGGCATTTATTTATATCTATAAAACGGGATTAATCTTGTAACGTAATTTTCTATTGGATTTAAATATGAATTGTCACAATTTGTAAGGGACTGCTTGGATGCAATATTTCCTAAGGTATAATAGTTTAAAGGCCATTTATGCAGCAAAAGATTTTTCCAAAAAGATGGACTTTTACCATTTTATATGTGCTTTCTGATCTAGATCCTTCTGATGACAGAAACGTGTGGAACATTAGTTTAATCAGAATGGATATCAAGAGGGCAATAATGAGACACTTCAGTATGGATTTTTCTGATGTCACAGCCCTGATTTAAAACATCTTTATGAAAGAGTCTGCAAAAAATTTATTTCTGTTACAGCTTAAAAAAAAAAAGGGATTAGCAGGGCAGACCTCACAGGAAAACCAGTATTGGTCAGTAAAAGCACAACTGGTGCATCTTTATGAAAAACAGTAACGCAGCGTTGATCAAAGCTTTGGTTGAACCACCTGATTCGCATGCAGGAAAAATAAATCTGAATTTCCAAATGTTGAGTTGGCGACTTTGTTTTGTGTCAAAGAAAGTGAAGCAAAGAATATGGAGGAACTGATGGTGTTCCATTTGTAGTTGTAGAGTCGTAACATGAATATTGATGTCTGTAAACAGTGAAGGAAATACAGGAGTAATAAGGTTCTCTTGGTCAGTAAGTAAAAAAAAAAAAGAAAATGACCATCGCTGCTCATGCTACTGGTTTAAGAACCGATCGTAAACATCTTCCCTCTTTCGTGAGCTCTCTGGTGAAACACATGCACGGCAGAGGGATCGCTTCCTCCCGACGGGTGATGGTGTTGAACTTGCACTTCTTCAGGTGGTCGGCCATACTGGCGATGTCTGCGAACTTCCACTCGTTCACTGTGCCGAAGGCTGTGCTGAAGCGCCACACCTGACGGAACACAAGACGAAGCCATTATCAGCTGACCAACATTTGCTTTTATTAACCAGGATTTCTGCATGTAATGACTTTCTCAAATAGTTACACTGTCAATGTAACCTATATCAATTTCCAAAGTTAACTAAAAATACATTTAACATCATTAAAAACATCAAAACAATTAAATAAAAGCAATAAACTTGGTTTTCCAGCTGTGGCGGGTGACTCAGCTACTTTTTAATCTGTCTGCAGTCCATCCAAACACCCTGCTTTAAAACTATAATCCTATATACTAATCTTTATAAGTGGTGGTGACAGTTACTGAAATCCCAGTATCCCAGTATGCACTGTGTCACGATGAGGGTCATTACAAAAGAAAGGAAATAAAGTATGTGGCCACAGAGGGGAACATTTCTGCAAGACGAACCATCAGAAATTACTAAATGAATTTGATTAAGCCATTTATTTAAGTATATATATATATATATATATATATATATATATATATATATATATATATATATATATATATACAAATAAAAATATTATTCTTTTTTTTTTTTTGACATTCGAACATTAAAGCCCTTTGCAACTAGGCCTGTCACGATAACAAATTTTGCAGAAAGATTAATTGTCTCAAAAATTATTGCGATAAACGATAATATTGTTTGAAGACCTTTTTACTCTGATTTAATGGAAATGACGTAATAATGCATGTGATTTCCTGCCAAAGATAAACACACTTTATTTTCAACAGAACACTTAACACTGGAACTGGTTAACAAAATAAAACGAGAAATAAAAATTAAAAAGATAAAGATAAAGAAGATAAAAAAAAAAGATAAAACCACAGCGAAAAAAAAACCACAGTAAAAATAAAAACGTATGTACAAAATATCACGTTGGTGATATGTACGTTTTCTGGGGAGTTCATCCTGTCTATCAAATGTCTGCAACATTTTTCGAAATGTCGGCTTTTCAACAATATTAAATGGAAGCGTCTCTTTAGCAAATAAATGAACTACGCTGTCTGTGAGCGCGCGTTACTTTGCTCTGTCCTTTTTGTATGCTGCCTGTCGATTAATTGCTTCAGTGATGGTGGACTGTCGCAAACTTGAAGACGCAGACGGGCCACCGCTTGTACTTTTTGTTTCCAGCTGGAGAAACTTTGCTGGGTGGTTGTGCTTTAGCTGCATGTGTAGGTTTGTTGTATTGCTGCTCTCTGTTGCTACTGTTTTATGACAAATGCGACATACTGGCTCGCATAGGTTCAGCGGTTGGCCTCGGTCATTTGGTTTGAATCCGAAATACTCCCACACTGCGGCTGTTGCGCTCGGCTTTCAAACCAGTTCCATTTCTAGCTTTTTCCTCCAACATAAGATGTTTTTTTTTTACCTCGCTAACTCCTCTAACTCCTCATGGGGCTCTAAAGCTGCAGAAGCACAAAATGATGCGCGCTGACTACCTGATGCGATGGTCCACTCCTCCTCCCTCTTCAAAAATGAGGAAGAGGAGGGGTCAGTGGATAGCACCACAGTAAAGCCTTTTCATACAGCATCATCAATAGAAGGAGAAAAACACAGGCAGAGACGATATAGCCGATAGATGAAATGACGTGGATAATTTTTATTTATCGTGCGATTAATTGATTATCGCGACAGGCCTATTTGCAACATAAATGGACAGTGTTTCGGTGGTAGACTGATGCAGCCATGCATCACAATCTACAGGATTTATTCTACATCCTGTTTAAGGCCCTCAAGGCGACTTTGCGAACCAGGAGCTGTCGTTCTGAATTCTGTAGTGGAAATTTACTCTTCTGTTCCCACATTATCTATTTTCCCCATTTCTACAATGGCTCTAATATTCTGTCATCAAAAAAAGGGGGGACAGTGCATTAGAGTTTGATTATAAATAGTTCAGGTAATTTAGAGGGCCCAATAGGGCCCAGACTTGACCTTTGCAGTTGCCTGCAATAGTATTTTACCCACTTTAGTTTTAAAATATTGCTCCCTTCATTAGGTTGGTTGATTCCTTTGCAACTAAAAATATTTTGACTCAAACCCAGTGCAGAACGCTAAAAACTGTAAAGCGTGAAAAAAAAGCAGTTCATTAAGCCTTAAATTAACCAAGCCAGAGCTACAGATCAATCTAACGCCCCAACAGCATTTCTATAATAGAAGATAAACAAAGAAATGCATGACCTAACTGAAGACAAGCCGTTCTCACCTTGTGAGTTATTTGCCATGAAGGAGAGCCATCTTCCCGTCGTTTCTTCTCCCACAGCAGGACGACCATGCCACGCATCTGAAGCAGACTAGCGCACACATCCCTCATGGTGCGAGATACTCTGGACAGCTGGCAGAGACTGAAGCTGTCGAGGAAGCTTGCTATGTGCTGCAAAACCTCAAAAGGAAGGCTGCTAAACTGATCACACTGAAAGTCCATGCGGCGGGTCTTTCTGGAATGGTTGTCTCCAGTTTTCAGAGGCAAACCAGGCTTCACCCCGAAAGAACCCAGGTGTCTGTCATGGATGATTCGAAAGCCCTGAACGGACGGACAGAAGCGTCTCTGGGAGTAGGTGCAGCCGTAATAGGCCAAGGGGCAGCGCTGCTCCATCCAGCCGTTGAGGCCTGCGTGGATGTCCCCGTGAACATTTTTAAAGTGGGACGAAAACTCATCCCGTCGGAAAAGCTGCCCGCAAACGAACGTGAACATGGAGCGCTGTTTAGTTTGGTATCGTGCGACACATTCAAGCACTAGGTCTAGCCGGAGCGTGTGGAAAGGGCTGGGGTTGGAGAGCTGCGGACTGGCGTGGTCACAGGCCGAGGCAGAGGCGATGTCTCCCACCATGGTGTTGGTAGCGAGAATGGCTGAGGGGAAGGAGAATGTCTGAGTACCAAAGTCGATGTGGTAGCCGTCAACAAACCTGCTGTCTGAGATCCCTCTGCCTCCTGGAGAATCTCCCAGGCAAAACAGCAGGGCTGCAGTAATGAGGTCAATACCGTGGAGGCCCATTGGGTCCTCCTCCACCTCCAGATCAGACGTGTCGACCGCTTTGTCCTCCATTTTGGCTCTAAACAAGTAAGGGTCGGACAGCAGGGCTCGGTGGCCGTTAAATGTAAACATACTAATTCCTCTGAGCACATTTACGCCCTGCAGTTCACGCTTCAAACACCTATACCTGAGTTCGGGTGGTAGCTGCTGCAAGAAGCTATTTCTCACATGATGAGACACCAGGAATGGCATTGGAGGTGCGAGTGGTACCTGACGAGCAGCAGGAGGCTCTGGTGCTACAAGGGGCAAATAATCCTGAGGGATCTGTTCCCAGACAAGGTCACCATTTTGAATTGGTTCATTGGTTAGATCCTCTTTTTCTTCAAAATTCAACTCCACAAAATGTCTTTCTTCAGACAAGGTAACCGCATCATGGTTTACATTCGTTCCCACGCTACAGTCGACTCCACCTACTGCTCCCAGCTCACACTCTGAATCACAGTCACTCTCATGCATTTCTACATTCCCCCCACCTTCAGCAACATACACACATCCCCCATTCGCCCCATTAGGGAGTTCTCCATCCGAATCAGTCTTTTCACCGTTTATATTTTCAACAATTGCACCAATGTTGTTGGAATTAGCGAGGATGTCCAAGGCAGCTGCTAAACTCCTAGTGGTCTCCACTGAAGTTCTGTATAGGTTGCTATAAGTTTCTTCCTCCATTTCTACCATTTCGTTGTCCAACAGTGACTCTGTGGCCATTTTATCAGTTCCACCCGTTCCTTTGTCTCCATTCTTTGACACGCTAGTCGTAACTTTCAGCGACTCCAACAGCATCCTCTGATCCTGAAGAGCCAAAGCCATGTCCAGCTGCTCCACCTCATCAAAGTCTTTGCTCAGGTTTTCATAGGACTTGTGATCGGCATAGCTCACAGGCCACCGGTTCCACTCCATAGTGCAACAAACTATACTGGCAGGGCATGTCTCCAGATGCTGCGCCATTTTGATTCTCGGGACAGTAAAGGGGCAACCGAAACCACTGTTAAGGCAAGGCAGTCTTTCATACGGACACAGGAGCCGATGTTCGTCCAGCTTGCAGGAGTGAAAAACTGCCCCGCAAACTAGTGGACAGCCGACCAGATCGCAGGAGACGCCAGGCTCTGATCTGACCATGCACCGTCGGTTGATGCATTTAAGGCAGTGGGGATGAAGGTTCTCCATTTTAGCTGTAGTTTCTCACTTCAGCAGGGGAATAGGGTCAAAGGTTAAACCCTGAAAACAACAATAAACACAAAAGGGATTAAAAGACGATTTTACACAAACAAAAAAAGATGAGATCTTAAGCATTAAGATACATTTCATATCATTTAAACTCCCACATTTAGACCACCTGCATATCCCAGAATCTATTTTGATAAATAAAAATTACACACAATAAATGAAATCATTAATTAATAGTACATTTCTTTATCTTACTTAGCTTACTAGGTGCAACACACAATTAAAAAGAATACACAAATCTTTTGTCTTTATGAAAGTTTTTTTTTTTAAAGATTTTTATTTCCAAAAGCAAATATAATCCGAATTACAAGCTTTATGAGAACCACATTTTAATTTACCATATTTAATTTCTAGTGTTAGAGAAGTTTAAAGAGACTTGTATACAGAGTGCTGCTGCTTTTTTTGACTTTTTCTCATGTTTAAATTTTTCAGATCACGGAGAAATATACAAGAATCTACGGAAGAGGATTAGGGCCACTGAAGAAAAAAACAAAGTTAACTGATTTTTAAATTTTATTTCAGTTTAACATGGGGAAAAAAGTCAGAATTCTGACTTTTTTCTCAGAATTCTGACTTGAATCTCAGAATTTTGAAAAAAAAAAAAAAGTCAGAATTCTGACTTTAATCTCAGAATTCTGACTTTTTTCTCACAATTCTGAGATTAAAGTCAGAATTCTGACTTTTTTCCCATACTATACTGAAATAAAATAAAAAAAATCAGTTAACTTTTTTTTTTTTTTCAGTGGCCCTAATCCTCTTCCGTAAGAATCAGATAAAAAAAAATTATAATAATAATCATATCAGCTGAAATTTAACAGGTAAGAGCTTGGGCCACACTGAGGCGGATTTAATGTCAGACCCATTGGTTATAATGGAAAAGTGTTAATAATAATAATAATACTAAAAAACACTTAAAAGGAGCCTGTCAGACAACATGAATTAGGCTAAAATATTTTAAAATGATTCCTTAATACCATCATATAAAGAAATTAAACAATAAAAGCAAAAGCGTGTTTAATATCTGTGTAAAAAGGGCCCCAGAGCCATTTCTAAGGTGATGGGGGGCCCACAACAAGAGCAACTATCTACATATTGAACTGAGTTATGAATCTGCCAAAGACTGGCTGGTCTGCCAACATTTCAAATGTGCCTCATCTACTTGTCCAGGAGGTCATAATAGAAAAACTTGAGAGAACAGATAGAGCATATTGACAGACAGAATTCTTTTTTTTTTTTTGTATAACTGCACTGAATAGGTTTCTCAATGAGCTAAAGACATGTTTTATAGTCTATATACTCCAGTTAATGATTAATCAATTACTAAATTAGTTGACAACTATTTCAATAATTGATTAATTACTGACTTGCCTCCTTCAGGTCAGGAATATTTTTAGAGTTGTGCATCTCTGAAACAGTTGTTGCAATAAAAAAATACCCCACTTAATTTCACAAAAAGAACATTATAAATGGAGTTGATAGTGCCCTTAGCTTTGTTGAAAATTTGACTACTAATTTCTCACCATTACTGCAGGTGAATGACTTTTGCAATCCCTGTAACTAAGAAGTTGGTCCAAACATAATTTCTAAAGGCTTATGGTTAGCTGGCACATGATATAACAATTTTAAGGATTCTTTTTTTCCTTCTTTTTTAATAAATTATTTTGGATCTGATCATTAACTGTATGTTTTGATTTAAAAGCCAGTGTATTTTAGCTCGGGTTGTTTACCTGAAGTCATTGTCCTACAGGAAACTGAAGCTCTAAACCAGTATTGAGCCTTTTCAGCCTTAGAAAGGTTTTCTTCCAGGATTGCAAAGTAGTTAGGAAAATCATGGAATGAAGTAAAGCCCTCTGACTGTACATTATGATTCAGCCCTCACAATGCTTTGCCATGGTATATTCAGGGAGCTGGTTTTCCATCAAATAGGTGTCGGTCAAAGGCCAGTGGTTCCTGCAATTTAATATGCCTCACATTTCAAACTTACTGTTTATGCACCCATCTAGGTCTATAACCAGGTTGTTGTTTTTTAACCATACAACTGGACACCATTTATCAAATTAGTAGACTTCTGAAAACATGTCATTTTTTTTTGCACTTGAGATCACTTAAAGATCTTATTTAAGATTAAAGGATAAAAGGGTGGTAAATATAAATGCAAACTTTTCAGGTTATTATGTGAGACATTGGAGATAGATATATATATATATATATATATATATATATATATATAGATATAAATATCTCCCCAAAAAAACACTAAACAAAATTGGAAACTCGTGGTTGTGCTGTAATTTATTCAAAACAGAGTTATAAATACTTTTGTAAGGGACTGGGTGTTCAGGTTCTTACTAAATACCTCTTAGTTAATATTCTGGCTAATCAGGATTTTTCCAACAGGGGTATTTCAGGTTTGTTGACGACCTCTTGTAAAAGCTTGAAATTTCACATTAAGAGCGCCACAACTAAGCTTTTGTACAAAGTCTTTGGTATTCAAACAACTTGCCAACAACTTCTTGAACCACAAACCCATTAGGAAGACCACAGCTTATATGTTGTTACCAGGCAGGGTTTATAAGTGTGAAATGATTCATATTTCTAAAATATTTAAAAATCCACAAAACGTTTTATTTTCATATAAAATGTATAAAGTATAATAATTGGTCAAGTCTTTGATGCAGCAGACATGCGAGTTACGCAAACACAGCTGGCAGCTTAGCAATCAGATTAACGTAAACAACAACAGCCGGTGTAACGCGTACAGACATGTTTCAAAACGGTCTTCAATTATTTTACTAGAAAGATTAGAGGAACCAAAAGTTACATTTTCCATAAAAATGCTACCGAAAAAGCGGTGAACCGACTGGAAAGAAAACTTTTTTAAACTAAACAACGCAGGAATGTTAGCATTAGCTTCTACAACTCTCCCATCAGTTGTTAGCTCACCGGTAGCTTCAGAGGGAAACCTACCTGGGTGGCTGCAGTCTCTGGGCTCTTTATATGGTAAGAATATTGTTTGTATATGTCTTCTGTTATTTTTGAGGAACAGTTAACTATAACTATCTATAAACAACTTAAAGTAGTAAAAAAAAAAATAAAACTTTAAATCTTGTATAACGAACTGGCGGCAGCTGGTTCGGTTGGTCTGGGTCCTTTGGTTCTCTCCGGGTGATGATCCTGGTTTGGGACGTCGCAGCTGTACGTCATCACGTAAAGTGACCCATCACATTTAGCTTTATGGGTGAAGTAGGGCAAGCCGTTATGAAATACAACCATACCTACATTTGTCGATAAAATAAACCAGTCCATACAAATAACATGATTACTTGTTTCAGCTAAAAATAAAATTAAAAACGGTAACTCTGGTAAATAGTCAATTAATGCCAAAGTTTTTTTTCTCTCTGAAAAAGATTTTTATATCCTATGGTTCCTTTTTGCTTCCTAATTATTTAGAATATCTGAATATTCTAACAGTCATTTGAGGGTTGAAGGATTTTGTGTAGTGTTAAACGTTCAAAAGGTATTGAGCAGAATTTTTGCAAAAAGGCTAGGAATATTCTTGGAGGTGAATGTACCAAATAGAGGCATTTAGAGGATATTTAGATCTACGTGCCATTTACATACACAATGTTTACTGTAGAATTGAGGCCATGCCCACCATCATTCACCTTGAATTCTTCCATAGCATGCACTGGCAGGCTTGGACTCACTTGGCCCTCGCACGCTGAAATTAGGACTGGCCCTCCGGGCCCAAAGCACCTACCTGTGACAATAAATAAATCAAGGATCTTAAGAAGTAATACAATGTTAACTACTTTAATGATGCATGCAGTATAGCCCTTCCTTAGTTGCCATGCATATTCTTGTGACGGTTTGCATATGGTGTAATTTTCTATTTCTTCAAATTGTAAAATCCTTGCAGCAAAACAAATTATAATAAAACTAAAATACTTTCTTTAAACTAAACTATGATGTTCCTCTTATATTTGGTGAACATATGTTTGAATATTTTGTAAAAATATGTTGCGGTACATGATGGGGTTTTGCATTTGTTTGCATTGTTCCATTTCATTGCCCACATGCCTCCTAGACTCACAGTGAATGTTTACACACTGCTGAGCTTTCATGTATTCATTCTTGAAGAAGTGCCTGTCTGCCTCTATATTGTATTGTTTTATGTTGGGGGTGGCGGGGGTCCATAAATGGGCCGGTGTAGATGAAGAAAATTTCGAAAATCGTTCCCAGTCCGAGCCTGCGCACAGGTGATCATTAGCACTACTGAGGCCACATTTCTGGAAACAAGAAAATTAAAGCCAAACATTTCAGTCTGTTTCCCACATAAAGTTTTTATTATGTTTATGATCTCAGAGTCCTGTATTACATTTTGGTTTTTCTCTGTTCCGTGCACCGCTGCACAGCAAGAAAAGAATTTCCCGCAAGGGATTAATAAAGTGATTCTGATTCTGAAATGCTTTTAGTATAGAATATTTCCAATATTTTACTTTCAACAAATAGTTTCAGAAATGTTATACTCTTTTGCTCTCCTAATGACTTAAAAATTATGGCTCTCTAACTGTGTGCCAATAGCGCACCTTGGAATGTCTGTAGAGTAAAGAAGCACCAATAATGAAAAAAGATGAGCAGTTCAAGTTAAAACCTAAAAAAAAAGGTATAGTAGAGATAATTTCCAAACCGTGAGTGATCGACAAACAATGCCAAGTGTCATTAAACAAAATGAATTACAGATGGCTAAAAAGTCTAGAATTTAGTCACAAAGGGAGGGAGAACTAGGTTTCCAGTACAAGTGTAAAAATGAATGGCTTGCCATACAGGGACACCACGCTATGGCTGAGGTACTGAAATAGACAGCCTGGGGAAATACCCTGAGTGTTTTAAAACATATATCTAAAATAACTTTAATGTGACTTTAGGCAACTTCAGGACAAAGAAACATTTGACATGTTTATTTTACACTATCAGCACCTTTGAATTCTCAAAACAAACACAAATTACTTCTGTTT